GTGTTTTTTTGTATCTCTTTTCAGGTATTTCCAACACGCGCATTAAAGTGTTAAAGATTCAAGTTCATCTGCCTGTGAAATTTACCTGGTCGGTATCTTGTTTAGTTTACTTATATAATCATTGCTATGATGATATCCTAAGCTCAATATATATACAACTTAACAAGATTTTTGACGGTTTTCATATCATATAGGATGAATTTTCCCATGTAAACGTTGGCTTACAACATATCTTATCTCTTGCTTTACAGCTCGTCTCATACTTTATTATATACATATAATATATGCCAATATATACATGAATAGTTTACAAGTCCTATATCCAACTTTCACTTTCAGTTAAAAATACAGCCTCGTTTTCTAAAGCATTTTCAAAAACAGGTATGTTTTCACAAACGAAGATTTGTTTTTCCAAAAATTCCTTTTCAAACATGTTCATTCGATCAATTTATTAAACTTTCCCCAAAGTATTCACTTATTTTTTTGGATCATGAATTTGCATACTTTTAACGAATTTTTCAAAACCTTGGGGGGGGGGGCGGGGAGGGGGGGGAGGGGGTGCGGGCGGGCGGGGGCGTGGTCGTGGGGAGGGGGCGGGCGGCGGGGGGGCGGGGAGGGCGGGGGGGGCGGGCGAGGGGGGTGGGGGGGGTGGGGGCGGGTGCCCAAAACCTGTCTTTTTACCCCATACAGATTTCGGGCGACCGATACGGCGGACCGACGGGTTGCTCTGTATTTTCTGAGAAATTTTCAAGTGTTTTACCGGTCGACCGGAATTCGCCGCGGCTCGGTTCGACCGAAATTTCGCATTCGGTCGACCCGAAATTTACGTCAGTCCGACCGCTAGCTTTAAAAGCATTTTTCTCAGGTCGTGCTCGGTTTTTGCACACTAATCGGCTCGACCCTAGCCGGATCTCGACCGACGAGTTGACAGAATAAGCCTAACGCGCTAGTGTTTCAAATGGCTCTTTTTGCGTGCTTTGTACTTATTTTCTAGCTGTTGTATTGGGGTGCTATATATACCCCATTACTGCTCTATCTCAAATATAACCAAGAAATCCAAGTTTATTTGTTTAGCCAAGATAATTAATCACGTTTAAGAGCTGTTTAAGAAGTTGCTTTCGTTAATCTGTTTTTCAAGAGGCAAAGTTCTTCTACAACAAGAAGAGGCGCCTCTCATACCTCCATTGCGATCTATCTTTCAGCTCCTCTTGTTCATTGAAGAAGCTTTTCTTAAACCTCTTTTCCCATATAGCCTTACTATTTCACCTTTCATTTGATTAGCTATATTCATTAAAAACAACGAGAAAAAAAAAAAAGCGGCAAAATGTTATTTATTGAGTCTTTGATTCACTATTCATCACCACCACACTTATGGAGCTTGATATTTCCATTATCTATATATTTGTGGCGTTGTGGGGTGCTTGATTTTAGTGAGTGTGAGCTTCATTGTGTTCTCACTTGTTAATCTGCAGAACAAATCATTTGTATTTAACTTTTGATTTGCTAAGATCACTTGCTATCATACACTTGTACACGATGAGGAAGTGTGAGGAGAAGAGAGGACCGGGGTTCAAATCCAATAGGAGTGCGTCGATTGACGAACCTAGGCCGATGATCGTTTGTAATCGAGCACTTGAAGAGCGGAAGACACGGCTAGATTCCTTACACTTAGTGTCGCTAAAAGTGTGTATTGTTGAGTGCATTGTGTAGTGTGAGCATGTTTCGCGTGAACTTGCTAAACGAGTGTGATCCGGCTTCCCAAACCGGATTGTAGATAGGTGGATATCTCCTCGAGGTGAGAGCGGGGACGCTAGTCGTGGGGCGACCGAACCTCCGTAAACATATCGTGTGTTTGTGTTTTGCTTGTACTCCATATTTTATTTGTGCATATTCTTATTGTTCTTTAATTGTTCATATCCATCTCTTTTGCGCAAGAAATATTGATCTATATAATTTTAATTAGCTTCTAATTAGAAATTAGATTTTAGCATAAGACCCCTAATCACCCCCCTCTAGGGCTCAACAATTGGTCATCAGAGCTGTGATTGCTCTTGATCTTAAGGACCCTGAGTTAAAGATCCAAGTTATTGCTACTTGATGCTAATCTAGTTTTAATTATATTGTACTTCTTGCAATTTCTATCTCTATAAATATGTATGATTTCATCTTGGTCTCCTAGCGATATGCTATTAATATTGCTCCTCGCTTTGGATACTTTTCCCTATGTTCCAATGGCGTATTAGATTCAAATATTTTGGTTCAATCTAATCAATTTTGAGTTTATGAGAATATTGAGGATGTCCCTACGTTCGTTCCCCACTTGGAAAAGAAAATCACAAATGGTGCGAAGGACATGATAAAGATTGCTTAACAATGAATAAGCTTTTGCTTAGAATATTTAATTAGCTGCCCTTTCACTCATCATTTTTTCTAACAAATTTGCCTAATTTTGATAGTGCTTGATGCCTTCTATTGGCAAACTTTATTTGAAGCACATGAATGGGGAAATTTGGAGGCCCTATTGCAACAAGCGTTGGAAAATTTCCGCTTTTGAGCTCTTAAGCGAAGCCCTCATCCCATTGCTTAGCAACCACCACTAGGCTGATAAAACCTACGTGAGGTATGCGATAACGATGATATTATTACTGTTTACATGAACTTGCTCTTGAGCTATATGAAAAATTACCCAATTGCTATATTGATGTTACAGAGCAAGATATGTATAATATGAAATGAAAAGCCATTCATGAAACACTAGCTACTAAATTCATTTTATTTGGCAAATGAAAATATAATCCCTTAAAAG